GCTCATAACAAAAAAACACCCTGAGCTGTCACATGTAGTAACTGTACATTTTGTCTTGTCTGAGGCATTAATTGAACACCTTTGTATTTCTCCTATAGACACAGTGTGGATTATTGGTGACTGGTCCGTCGAGGTGCCCAGAGAGCTGCAGAGACAGAGGAAGAAACCTGAGCCTCAACAACATCTGTATTTGTTGGTTCTTCTGGGGTGGACTTCAGTTGCTTCTCTTCAACAGCTCGCTGTGAGGGAGGTCTCCCCGGACGGACTGAGTGATGTCACCCACAGGCTGAGAGCTGGAGCTGAGAGGGTTTTAAGAATCTTGACAAACCGTTACACCGCACCCACCTGTCAAGCTGGTCAGCTACACCCTTATTGTGAATAACTCTTATCCTTCATCAAATCAAAACTGATGAGTCATCAAAACATTCACCCCCCCCGTACAGTGGTGTGTCCATCGAGACATGAGCTAATCACACCTATTTGTTTGTTTTGTACCAAGCTGTAAACATATTAATCTCTGCTGTAAAAACAGACTTTTTTTAATGTTGTTTTTCAGATTAAATAAATATTTCTATATAAATGCACTCCTTTATGTCTACTTATGAGTATACATTTCAGATTAATGCTCAACTCAATAGCTTAGGGAAGGAAGTCTACTTTTACACAACTTCTTATTCTTTTGATAAATACTAATGTAGTTCATTTCTGAAAGTGGGATGGAACAGAGTCATTGCAAAATTTGCCCTTAAACACAGCCCATTTTAAAATCAAGATACATGGAGAGTAAATAAGATCAATAACTTGTGAATAAAAACACAGTTAAAAATGATTTAGAAATGTAGTCTTCCCTGATCAATATCACATAATATCAACTTCTCCCATCTAAACTGGACAAAGGGTTTTAAAATGGGAAGAAAATAGTTTGATTGCGAGTTGTTTGGAGGAGATCTATTTTTATTTGAACAGCATGAATACAGTCTTCCAAGGTGCAAACCCTCCTCCTCCTCCTGAAGCCTGTGGAGCTCCTTCATGTACTGCTGTCTGTCTGCTGGCCATCTTCTCTCAGCAGAACTTCGACTGTTGAAAAGTCATTCAGAAGAAGCTCGAGCATGTGACATGGATCCAGGAGAACATGGACTTTTAGTGAGGGTCTTCAGGATGGCAAAGAAAGAGAGAAAATATCAGTTATTCATTAAATCATTTTGTTTGTTCTCATCTATTTTTCTGTATTCATCTGTGTGTAAGAGCACATTTATAAATTCAACAGTGTACTACCCAGACAACAAAGGTACAGTATTCAGGTAATCAACATCTATTCAAAGTTAAGAAAATAAACATTATTGTAATCATGCTGTTTTCAGCTCTCTCACTTGCACAATGATATTCCACATCAATTATCTCAGATTTTGTGTGAGGAAAAATTCAGCAATTTATTGTGGATAGTACTTCATCTTAACATGAAACAAATATAATCTGAATTATTTAAATCATTAACAGGTCCCAACTCTCTGTGCTTTAGTACAGAACATACAGTAACTCATTTATTATTAACATGAGCTCAGTACATGGCTGTATTCTTCAAACTATTTCTTATACTTTATATCTATGTGCTTTATATCTTATTTTCATACATATTTCATATGTTATTGATATTTCTACTGCTATATTCTGTGTATGAGTTCAGTGAAAATTAATATGGTTATTAATATAGTTCTTAATGGTTACAGATGCTCTTACAAAGTGAAGTTTTTTTTATTTGTTAATAGTTTGCTCAAACTTAAGACACTACATCAACCATGTAACTTTAATGTCATCCTCTATAACCTACACAGCACATTAGGTTCAGTTCAGTTTATGTTACTGACGGATAATTACTACACAAAGTTTGTTTTTAATGTCCACATTTAGGTGAGTATAACATTCATCATAACGTCAGATAACCACCGAGATGAACCTTTAGCTTCTAACATCACACAAACTCACTATTTCAACAACAACATCTTAACAACAAACATTTCTAAACCATTGACCGTAAATAATGTAAATAATGAGCTACACAGTTAGCCGACTGGTTTACAAGCTAACGCTAAACAAGCTAGGTCCGTAAATATAAACACATGAGTAAGCAGTAAATATAACACTACTATATCACTTACCGAAAAAAACTGAAGCATCAACTTGTTGGATGGTCTGTTAACCGCACAGCAAGCCATGTATGTTGTCAGATATGTGTTAAACAAACTCTCCAAACGAAGTAAGAAAGAGGAGAAATCAGACGGATCAAGCTTTAGCCTCCTGACCTGCTGACCGCACAGAGCTGTCAATCAAATCTGACACAACCAAATATGGGCATAGTCGTTTTCCTTAAAGAATAAAATCCGATGAGTTATAAAAAAATTCCCCCCCCCCACAGTGTGAGGAGAAGGGGCCGTCAACTTCTCAGATATATCTCGTTTTTTGAACCAGGCTGTAAACATGTTGATTCCTGTGGTAAAAACGGGCTTTTTTGGCTGTGGGCTTATGGCACTTCCGGCGCTTCTGCAGCCAGCCTCAAGCGGAACCTCGAGGAACTGCAGTTTTTTGTACTTCCGCATAGGCTTCATTTTTCGAGACCGGAGGTTGCCCCTTGGTTCAGACGTTGATAAAATAATACTCACCTTGTTTCTGTCTTTCCACGCGTCAAAATGTTTTTAGTAATTATCAACTCTTAAAAAAAGAACAAGTTTAAAGCCCAGTCACATGTCTACCTTTTGCTCATCTATTACCAGGATGTCGAAATAGCCCTGTGCTGCGTAGCTTTTGGGTAGGATACGTCTCAGTTCCATTAATTGCCTCCTCCTCTGAGTCCCTCCAACCAGAGATGCGCGGAGAGATGCAAGGAAATGAAGCAGAGGCGAGAGGAAATATGTTTTAAGAGCTATGATATCCCTGCTGTTTACAGTCTATGGTCCATCCCACCTTAGTGACGATGACATCAGCTGATCATGTTCAGCTGTCAGTCAGCTTTAACAGCTGTTTGTGTCTGCACAAATACGCACTGTGTTATTTCTAATGAAATACAAACACAGTAATAGTGTTTAGTCTCTTTATTTTACCTGATAACACAAACAACCTGCAGTCTGCTTAAAACCATGAGGACAATTTCTACATGCAAAAAGCTTTAATATTGAATTGTCCATTGATGAGGCCTATTTGTGGGCTTTTTTTTTTTTTTACTGATAATCCGATAATGAACTCTGTATTTTATAAACACAAATACTTTAAAATGTCCTAGGAACACTAAAAATGATTTATTAGGTTCTAAATTATAGGGATATCAGAACACATAACATTTTTCCAAACACGAAGATCATTAATGATCTTATATGAAACTTTATTAATGTAAATAATGATTAATGTAAAACGTGTTTCTTTGTCTCTATTTATCTAACAAAGCCCCTTTGCTCCTCAAAACCAACCTCCAGTTTACTGATCGCTTATAAAAATAACAGTGTTAAAAATGTGAAAGATAGATGCGTGTGCAGTACACTCTTACATCACATGAATGAACGAATACATCTTGTTATTCATAGTTGGTGTACATACCACTGTATACATGTTTGTAGTTTTAAAACTGTATTTGAAAAAGTTAAAATTTGAATATTTTCTTTCTTACAACATCCAACTTTACAACAATGTGACTGTAAGGACTTGAACTTCTCTGAAGAGATACGGAAACAATCAATATTTAGATGAAAATATATATATTTTTTTACTTGTAGGTAAAGGTCGAAACAGGAGTGAATTCTACATCACTGTATTTACTTTACAATTTTAAAGAGACTTCACACTCAACATATTAAAACCACACATACAAATTTGAATGTTTTATTAAAGATTAGAAAACGTTTCAATGAAGCAGACATTTTTAAACACCATCCAAATGTAACAGTATCCTTGTAGGGTAAAAAAGTTATAATTAATATCATGACGTAGCATGGTCCGAATCCCACCAAACTTTCAGCGAGTCTTTAGTTCCCGCTGTTGATTGGGAGCTACACTGATCAGCAGCTTCGTAGGCCGAGTTAGGATTATTACATGGTCATTTAACTTTGATAATTCATAAAATCATAACGACCCAACGTATCGTCACCAAACTCATGGGGTTAATAGATATACATGCCGGGAACATCTAGTAAAACATTCAGAACGGTGTGCACCCTTTGCAAGAAACGCACATCTGACTGGCTTAGCGAAACTGGCAGCAGCTTTTCATGAGGTAGAGACGAGTCAACGGTAAATTTCAGCTCTGTACTCTATTCCCCGACTGTGTTATGATATTATGGTGTTTATGAAAATGTATTTAAAAAAAGACTTGGAAAAACAATCTTTTAGCATTTGGCAGAATTCATATAATTCGGTTTTAATTCACATCAATTAATGAGGTTAAAAAAGGAGAGCTCTTCAATTATAAATTGTGTTCATTATTTTTGCATGATCATCATATTTGCTGAATCTGGTCAAAAGTCAAATAGGAAACCCACATAGAGACATAACATTGCAATGAATATTTCCCAATTATTCATGTATTAAAAACTGGTTTTGGTCTAAAAAAGATTTCACCCCAACATTTAGTGCTTTGTATTGAGGTCGTCAATGAGAAATTTCTCATTTTCCAGAAGGATTTGGTAGAAGATATCTTTGCTAGCAGCACCAGCTTGCAGGCAACCGCAGTAGAGCTCTCTCATCTTCTTCCGAGAGGTCGGCAGAGCTCTGATTGTATCGTAAGCCTCACGCTGGAGGACACCTCTATCGAGGAGCCGATCCAGAATGGGATCCATGTGGCTCACTCTGTCGGTGAGCTGGAGTTGATATTTATCCACAAAGTGTTGGTCTGAGAGAAAGGAGAAAAAAATAGTCAAGGACTGTTTGTAGTTTGAGATAACATAAAGCCAACTTGATAACTTTAGTCTGCAGAAAATAGTTGGCATATTCTAAAAACCCCAAAATAAGCCAACATGGAGGTGCATTAGACATGCATTCTTTGTAATGGCCAGCAGGGGCCGACTTCAAGATCAAGATATCAAGATCAAGATTTACTTTATCTTCCCCAAAGGGAAATCATTTTTGGACTCTGTCCTGCAGTTACAAGAGAGTGAAAATACATAAATATAGATCATACAAAACATAAAGCATTTCATGTAACAATTCCATATACATAAAAACACCTTCTTGCAGCAGTAACATTTGGCATATTGCACGGACCCTGGGCACATCCTACATTACCTGTCATTCAGAATATTAACGGACATTGGCACAAATGAATGTTTGTAACTGTTCAGCCGGGTCTGAGGGACCCTGAATCTTCACCCAGAGGGGAAAAGCTGAAACTCAGAGTGAAGAAAGAAGGTAGGATCAGACACTATTTTCTGTGCCTGACTTCACTTGTTGAAAAGAAAGAAAATGTATTGTTTAGAAGAAGAGAAAAGGGTTTCTCTCATTTCTATATTACAAGAGGAGCGATCTTATTCTTAAAGAGTGCTTTAAAAAGTATCATCTGTAATTACTGTTTGTGTGTAGATTACCTTTGATTATCTAGCATTACTTACACTTTCATATCCAACATATATCATAAAGAGAAAAAATACCGCGCGCACTGTCTGTTTTATTCCAATATTGTGCAGCCCTACTTGTCAGCCAGTGAGCTGTAGATCAGCTGGAAGACAGCTTTTTTTTAGCCATCAAGATGTTTGCCCTTACCTCCAGTCCTGATGCTAATCTAGCTGAAGCCAACTCTACTTATATCATAGTGGTATAAATATTCTCATCTAACCCATAAAAATAATGCACATCTTTTCAACTCGTCAAAATATTCCTTTATACTCATTAGTAGCAATTATCAGCTTTCTGTTTCTTGAGCCTGAACTCTGTTTAGATCAGAAAAGTTTGGCTTGTTTGAAATATCCACCTCTGTGGTGAATTACAAAGTGACCTTTACAGTCAGCTACTGAAGGATATGATCCATGACTTCTTTCATGACAGCCTTATACGACGTGTCCTCCTACCATCGGATGTGGTATCTACACCAGTTGCTCCGGCTGAGGGTCTTGCAGCTAAAAACAAAAACAGAGAAAAGGATTGGATTGGTTTTAGACTGTGAAGATATTTCTTTGTTGGCCTTTTTAACCTTTATTGATAGGACAGCTGAAGAGACAGGAAATTTGCAGTCGACATGCATCGCAGGTCTGAGCTTTGGAGTTGAATCTGCAGTCGATTCCTCAAGGACTGTAGCCCATGGGGCGGCCTGCTCCCTCAACTGAGCTAAAGTGTCTTCCAAAGGGTTGTCGGTTTGAAGGTTCATTTCTCAATCTCATAAGGTTTGGAGTTCTACTGTTAACGTATTAGTCAGTGAAAATACATCAGTGGATTTCTAAGTTTTGGATGTTCACAGGATTTTTTTTTAAAGGTTTATTGTGGGCTTTTTGTGCCTTTATTGTAGAGACAGGACAGTGGAAAGAGTCGGAAATCAGGGAGAGAGAGAGAGTGGGGGGAATAACATGCGGGAAAGGAGGCAGAGGTCGGATTCAAGCCTTCGACTCTGACTGAAATATCACATGTAATTCTTTACTGAAAATCCTATCCCTCCGTTTCTAAGAGGGAAATGAGAGCTACTGCTTGGAATGGAGGAAATCTCGTGGTGGTTAATCTTTATTATAGACGATCTTTGGTTAGTGGTCAGCGAAAGCAAAAGTAAAAAGGGAGCGGGCTCGTTCAAAAAGGTTACTTTAATTTGTGCTATAAACTATACTATTTCAACTACATTTTGTATGATTGCACAAAAAAAACATATCAATTTCTTAACGTTGTAGCCTAATTGTTGCTGATTTTTGTGATAATAGGCCACTTTGAATGTCCTGCAAAGGAAGCCCGACCTCATTATAGGGCGCCGATTGTAAAGTTGCGCACATGTGACACACCGAAATGTGTTGTCACATTTTGTTATTGTATTTGGTTATTTTGTATGAATATTATACAAACGTATCTGTGTTTTGGTTAAAGTTATAGTTGCTGCGCTCTGCTTCAGTCTGGCAGAAGCGACAGAAGAGTGAACAACTACAGTCGACTCAGTGTGTTTTCTTTGTCTTTTACAGACATACTTTAAGCTGTAAGCAGGTTCCATCCCGTACCTGTTACACACACTACAAATAACAACAACATTTCTCCACATTTAGCCTAAAAAAATCATATCATAAATATTTAGCTACGTTTCTAAACATTTAGTTTACATTCTAATATTTTGCTTTGATCCTATATATTTAGCTAAAATTGTAAATATTTATAATCAAAGCTAAATATATAGAATACAAACAAAATATTTAGCAACGACTTCTCAATATTTAGCTAAGATTTCAGCTGGTAGAGTCGTCGCCTCTCAACCGGAAGGTCAAGGGTTTGATCCCCAGCTGAGCAACATGGCCGATGTGTCCTTGGGCAAGACACTTAATCTTGCATTGCTCCGGCTGCTTCAGTGGCAGTGTATGAATGGATTAGTGTTGTACTTACTCTCTGATGTACATCGCTTTGGATGCTTTGCGTCTGCTAAGTGATATGTAACATACAGAAATTGAGTGACTGTGATATACTTAGACGAGAATTTTAGGTGAAAGCCAAAAGTGTGACAAGATACCCGCTCTCCCCTACCTCGTTGTAAAGGTGACTAATCAGGCTTTCCAACTGATATATAATACAACAACAATAAGGGTTAAGTTAGCTAAAATGGGCCACATTTTGGTAAAAGATCTATAAGACCATCAAATAAGCTATGCATGAGATCTAATGATATTTTTATAAATTGGCATGGGTCTAATTATTTGTTAAAACAATGTGACCAGTATAATTGTTTTTGAAATATCAGACTTGAGTATCAGCAGGGTCCGTCTTGAGATAAATCATGATGTTCAGGTATAATGGGCTAGTGCCTAAAATATCTTTTTTCACAAAAAATTAAGTTTCTTTTTAAATGTGAAGTTGTTTTATTTGAAAGAGCATGTAAAACGTAGTTCTTAACCATTTGCTTTGTTTGTAAGCTTACTTGTCATTGCATTACCTACCTTATTAGTAATTAGGCCTAATGAAATTTGTTGTCATGTAACACTAAAAGAATGATTGATAAGAATGGCTTACCTGGTGCATGGAATTGCTTTGGTAATCATCTGAAAAGTAAAATGCTTAGATCAATAATTTATTTTTGATCTGCTGCTTTGTTTAAAAGCAGTCACCTACTCTGCATCAGTAATAATTCTAAGTAAAAAAACAGTTTTAATGTATTCAAACCTTCGTCAATTTTGCGGGTCCACACTGGTGTACTCTCTTTTTTTTTTGTAAGCTTGAGGATGAAGTCTGTGTCTGGATTTCTTATACGTACTTTAAAGTACGGTGGATCGGTGAATTGATATTCGAGCTTGACTTCCTGTGGGGGAAAAATGTGTGAAAGACATTGAAGTAATGTAGCACCAGATTTTTTTAAATTGCTATAATTTATGCATTTTTCAAAAGGTGATATGTTCTTTTGAATCAAAAGACATAAAAAGATAAATCTGCTGTATCTTGCTAAATATTGTTTAAATGCTAGGTATAAAACACACTCGTACTTTGTTGATCTTTTAATTCTGTTTGACACAAGGTGCCTATTACTTAGACTTGTCAACTGTGCGGAATGTGTGAATTAGCCATTCAAAAGTGAAGTGCTGTTGTTATCATCTATCTCTGTGGCATCAAGAATAAAGAAGACGCTGCGGTGGGATTACTATGGTACTCTGAAAGCATCATAAAGCACACAATATAGATGATTAAAACAAATTAATGCATTCAATTTGCACCTTAATCACATTGTGATTAATGCATTATTATTGACAACCCTACTTTTAAATTATTGTTCAATTTGACTTATCCAACAGTATCCAACTATTCAGAACCACAGTTCATAGATTTAAATGCAGCTCAAAACATACTTCGGGACAAATTTCTGCACCATCCATATCGGTTGATAGGATAAAGTCATCCTTCATTCTCAAGTGCATATTTTCAGGTGGTACTTCAATTTCTTTGTTTTCGTAGTTTTTTTCAATCTTGAGAATTTCCTGTAGAAAAAAAACACAATAGAAAGTTGCAACAAAAGCTGATTTGTGATCATTTTTGATACAATCATGATTTGAATCACTTATATTTATGAAATCAGGATAAGTAATAACCTGTCGAAGACCAGGATCACACGGGATCAGATAAACTTTGAGCTTGAAGAATGTATTTTTCATCTTAAATATCAACACGCTGCAGCGTGTTTTCACACGCACACCAAATTTGATCAGAACCCCCTTTGGCGAAAAAACTGGTTCAGCTAACTTGACATGGCAAGACGTGAACTCGGAAACTTGTTCCACAACATCACCACAGTCATCGATGTGGAGGACGGCAAACTCTCCTAATATGTCAGTGTTGCCGTCTGCACAAAATACAAATGCACACATAAGTGAAAAGAAATAATTGCATCAGTTTTTCTTTTAAATTATGTTAGTTGCTCAATTGTAAAGGTCACATATTATGCAAAATACACGTCACCATGTTTTCAGAACACTAATATGTGTTAGAATATGTGTGCTCAAACAAGTCGTTTGGAGATTTCCCCTTATTGGGAAGAGGTTTAAATAGAGAGGTTCATAGGAATGATCTAATACAGGATCAGAGTGGATTTTTTGCAAGAAACTTCACAGGCATGTTTGGGGACCTCTGAGACTTACCATATTTAATCTGGGTTAAAAGGAGGATAATATGTGACTTTAAGTTATTTTCTGCTGTATTTCCACTCACCTATGCAGATCCAGTGTGGCAGGTACACTTCATCAAACTTTCCAGCAATGACTTTGATGTTCATTAGAGGACCTGCAGGCAAGTATTTCAAGCTTTCCATCCTCTCAATGTGTTCCTCCAAGAGCAAAACTTGTACTGAAAGCTGACCTTATCCTTACAGATCCAGCGAATGCCGGAGACATTGCATTCAAAACCGTTTCCTACTTCACTCTGTAGGCTAAGTGACACAGAAAGACATCAATGAGTTTGTATATAACTGTACTGTAGTGTTTTAGGCAAAAAGGAGTAACAAAGAAAAGTATTGTTTTTCATTTGGTCAAAAAAAAAAAATCTTATTTGCTGTTGGTCAGTATTAAGGAAGATATTTGTACCTGTATGTAGGAGACTCATCTCCATCAGTACTGTTCACTTCAGGATCAAGTTTGGTCCAGTGACCAGAGTCCGGCTGAGAGAGACAATCATTTTATATTGGCAACAATGAATGAGTAAATAAAATAAATACTGAATTAAAAAGAAACGGAACAAATGAATGATGGATGGGATTACCATTTCTTGTCCACAGTCGTCAGGCTCCACACAACCAAAAGGCCCTTGGAAAGACACAAAGGTTTCTTTAAAGTATGTTACTCAGACATATATTATCGAATAGTAACCTTACATCTCTTATATGTATCTCTTATTTTCTGCGTCGGGTCGGGGTTATAGAACACTGACCTGGAAAAGGTGTTTTTTTTTTTTTTATCTGTGTTTGTCTGCAGAGCATGTGAATGTCATAAACCCTTCTCCTAACAGCTGGAGAAAAAAAAACATGAAGAAAAAGGGTAGTGTGTTCAAAACTTTGGACCTACATTTTGAGAATTTGTACGCATGATGTTCTATCAGACTTTTTTTTTAAAACAACATCCCATCCCAACATAATCCCCTTTATCCATTGCTGTGATTTTGCTGTCATGAGAATGGGACTGATGTGAGGTGAGTGACCTTAACCTTTGATCACACTATTGCTTTATCCTAGTGGTTGTTTGTGCAAACTTTAAAGATATTTACTCCAGACACTCTAGTTAAAAACATGGGACATTCAACAAACAAATGGACAGAAAAGCCTAAACACATGTTGCCTCTGTCCCCTGCTGATCAGCGTCACAGAAGCATTATAAAACTAAAAGAAGATAGAGGTTTAAAAATGCAGTCCAGGTTCTGTACACCTAATGTTTTATAGTCAAATAACACTTTTTTTTAAAACTTACCTTTAGATACTGAGCTGCTTTCTGACAACTTTCCGACCAGATCAGTCCTGTTCATCCTCTCTAAAAATCCTCTGTCACCTCCACACAGCGTTGGCCATAGATCTCCACCATCAGCTTCACTATCTCATCTTTGTCTGCGGTCTCCACTTGGTCTTTGGGATTTTTGGGAGCCCTTCTTTCATTTTAGTGTGAGCAAGGCATGTTTGAATTTCTCCAGGTCCCCTGAACCTAATTCTTCCAGTGTTTCTAAAAGCTGTGAATGGACCGATGTCATGGTTGATTCCTGCTTCATCAAAAAAGTAAGTAAATATTGTTAATTAAATAGTTAGAAATGAAAACTGTAGAGTGTCTGATGTAACATTACTCACATGTTGTGGATCTTTTTGCTGAAGTTTCTCTAAGGGGGGAGAGAAAAGGACTCATTAAAATCAGACAAAAAGCAGCTTTAGTCAGTTTTAGTCATTTTGTGAATAAAATATAACATGGCACATCTCAATATTAAAAATAAATAAAAAATGTATAACTTATGTGGGTTGGATGTGCGGTATTGGCAAAAGTTAAACTTAAATGTACTCATTATTAACGTCACAAAAACCAGGAGGCTTGATTCAGCTCAACAATGTCTGTAGTCTTAGTATTTAATGAAGCATATATATTTGTGTAATGTGTCAGTTTTCATCCTCTTACTCTCAGTGTTGAATCCTGAGCTGGTCCTGAGAGCGTCTTTAGCAGATCAGTCTTGTTCATTCTGTAAAACGTCTTTGGTCAGCTCAACAGACTGTTGGCCATAGATGTCCACCATCAGCATCACTATACATCTCTGCTGCCTTCTTCACTTGTCGTTCTGGGGCTGGGAGGCCTTTTTCTTGGGCGATATGCAGCAGGTGTTGCTTGAATAGCTCTTGCTCGTCATATCGTAAGCCTCTCAGTGTTTCCCAAAGTGTCCAATGAAGTGATGTTACTGTGGATTTCTAATGGAGTCAACATAATCAGAGAGCGTTTATGGGTTTCATCTCAACTGTAGACAAAACTTTGGTTCACTGGCATCAACATTAAGTTATGACAGTATTGTCATATTTACATTTCTGAGCTTTTAACCCCTTATGAACCAGGACTCAGTCTGAGATCCTCTGGCAGATCTCCGCTGGCTGTTCCAAGGTCCAGGCTGAAAACTAAAGGGGACAGGGCTTTTGTTGACAGAGCCCCCAGACTTTGGAACAGCCTGCCAGAGGAGATCAGACATGCAGAGTCAGTCCTTCGTTTTAATTCTCTACTTAAGACATTGTTTTACAAAAAAGCTTTTAATCTGTTTATTTTGTTTGCTTTTATTCGGTTGCTTTTATTGTCTGTCTGCATTTGTTACCTGTATTGAAATGTGCCATACTGTATTATTGTAAAGACCCTGCCTTTAAGACTACCTAAGGAGGATTGCACATGTGGAGAAGCTGCATAAAGAGAGAAAGTAGCATTGTAAGTTTTGCAGTCAATAAGTAAAATTTATGTTTTGGTGAGAGCTGGAGATTGTGCTTCAATAATAGAAGTTCTTTTTGTGTTTATTTCATACTTTTCTTTCTGTTAGCGTTACTGGAAATACTTTTAATTTGTTAGCATTCTTTGAGCTATTTGAAAGCTAAATGCATATTGTTTATGTTCATTTAGACAGCATGGTGTAAGAAAGCTGATGTGTGTATTTAGCATTTCTAATGTTTGAATGTGTAGCCAGACAGACAATTCCACAAATCCAGAATTCATAGATTCCTATCATTCAGATTAAAGGAACCTAAAACCCTGATGATTAACCCTTTCTTCAACCACCACACCACAGTTATAACTGACTCTCCACAGTGATTACACAAACCCATCAGAATCAGTATTCACTCTTTTTCAATTATTATTATTATTTCTCTGCATTTCTACAATTCACTTAGCAGACGCTTTATCTAAGCAACATACATCAGAGAGTAAGTAAAACACAAACAAGGATCTATAAAAAGGAAACAATGTCAGTAAGAGCAAACAAACAGCTTTAAGTCTGATCAGACACACAGGTGCTGACAGGCAAAGCACAACCTCAACAGCTTATTGTAACAATAAAAATCAAGTACCTTAGTCACAGTGACACCATGATGATTTCAGATTTGAAGTTTACTGGAGTGACCAATTTTAACCAATCCAATATTTTCTAAAAAAAAGTCACTTGAGGGATGAATATGGAAGATATTTAGGATTCATGCTCAGCTCTAAGGATGAAACGATGTCCCACTGCATCCATATGCTAAATAATAGACAAATCTGGTATATTAAATAAAATCAGGCTCACCTCTGACAGGCTGCCAGGGTTGAAAACTATTCATTCACCTGCTACCATCACCTGGAGCACAGAATCAGCTCAGGCTCCACACGGTGTCCAGTAAAGGGATTACACACACACACATACCCAAAGGAAAACTAAAGGGCAAAACATAAACCCACATTTTGGCTCCAACAATTTCTATAAAAACAAAGTATTCTTAAGTGTGTTCTTTTTGTAACATCATCACAACATAGTACTTTTATTGTCCTCCTTCTTTCCCATCTGCAGCTGAAAACCTTTTCCACCACTTTACTATCAAGATGAGAATAATTATGTTCATGTAACAATAAAATGAAATAAATGGAAACCTTGTTGTTTAATGTGTTTCTGATTTTACTTTACTCACTTGATGAGGCAGTTCAGGCTGATGTTTCTCTGAAGAGAAATAAAAAATAAAAAGTTAATAAATCTTCACAAACCTTAAAGGGCCATGCTTGACGTCAGCCTCAGATCAGAAATACAATATTTTATTATTTGACATAACAAAGGTCAGTGGCTAATGTTACAATTTTACAATTTCATTTAGCAGACGCAGACGAATAAATCTGGCATTAAACTGAAAGTCCAGAGGTCTGTACTACGAAGCAGGATTTGGGGTTAGCGAGGTAACTTCAGGGTTAACCTGGGTTTTCAGTCCTACGAAGGTGGTTCACTTCTAACCTGGGTATATCACCACGGTAACCTATGCTGCACATCTAACCTGCTGCACACCTAAAAATCTCGCCACTGAACAGTCAGATCTCTTGATCTTGGAGCTCCCGCAGCTGATCGAGAGAGCGGAGGAGGGAGAGAGACCGACCAACACTTCAGTGATGATTGTGATTGGTTAAATTAAGCTAACTCTGCACATTTATGATGATTGGAAATTAAAATTAACCCACAGGTATAAAACAGGTTTGTTATCTTGTGTAAACAAAATAATTTATTTGTGATCTCGTTACTTTTGTTGTAATTGTGAAATATCAAATATCTTTAAACATAAATGTGTGTAATGTGGCAGTGTTTGTTTTCTTTCTCTCACCTTGAAGTCCTGAGTCTGTCCCCATCAGCCTCTCAACTAGATCAGTCCTGTTCATGTCAATAAAACCTCTTTGGCACCTCCACAGGCTGCTGGTTCCTCACCATCAGATGCACCAGTTTATCTGGAGTTGTTGCCCACTTCCATGTCGTGCACTGGATTCGTGTAAAACTCCTCTGGAAGTATGTGAGCTGCAGCACCCACTTAAATTTCTCAAACTCCATAAGTTTCAAACCACTCAATGTTTCCGAAAGAACATGTTCCACATCTTCCTTTACCGTCTAAAAATGTCAAAGACAATAAACAAATTAGTCATTTCTCCAATGGTAAAATCAAAAAGGAACATCTCTGGGGATTTAATCAGAGATGTAGGGAAGTTATCGGAATACTTTCTCCATGATCACTTGAGATTAATACAATAGGTAACATTTCTTTTTTGGCTATGTTAACAGGTTTTTAAAAAACACATTGTTCTTAATGTTTGTATTTTGCTGTAGCAACATAACATAGAAGATCTCCTCTATCCCTTCACCCTTAAATCTCTATTAAACTGAATACAACTACATGATTTAATGCAACATGTGAAATCTTCCACAGCACTTAACATGAAGCATTTCCTTTAAAACACCTGAAATACAGAACTCAAATACTACAGAGCTGAACTTTACAACCAATTATAGCCATTTGTTTTGGTTTGTATCATAATTTGCAATGTTCAAAGACTTGGATGTTTTTTAATCTGCATCAGACAAATCAGGCTGTGAAATGTAAAAAACGGACTCACTTTTTCAAAGACTGGAGGTTGATGCTCATCCACTGAGGAGAAAAGACATTTGTGACTACGACGATTATCTTATTTTAATGAGACTTGATCTACTTTAATAAGGTTCAGCTGCTTTACAAGGTAACAACAACATAACCTAAAGAAATCAAATTCAAC